GCCGGGCCGGGGCGCGGGTGGGGGGCTGTGGAGGCGAGGGTTGGGTGCCTGCGGGTGGGACGCGGCCGCCGTGAGGCCTGGGCGGCCTTGCGGTGGCTGTGCTGCTGCTGCTCGGCCGCCGCTGGGACGTGGGAGGCCGGTGTGTGTAACGCCTTGTGCCCGCGGGGCTTCGGGGCGCTCGGCAGCCCTTTCTGAAAACTCTTCCGAGGCTGATGCGGCCGTAAAGTTGATGGAGACGGACGTGATAAGAACGCGCCTCCAATCCTAAGTGGGTCAAAATGAGGAAATAGCGTTTTTATGTAACTCCATGTTTCCACTGAGTTTATGACACCCTTGGTTGTCGTGGTTCCGTGAACAGCAGAGTGTATTTCTGTCGACCTGCTGGTCAGCTTTGTACTGACTTATCATTCTGTAAGTAATAATCAGAACAAAAGACTTGCACGCTGTGCAAAGCCCTATTGGGGGGAACAGTTTGATATGCTGTGTGGTGAAGCATAATATGCCTTTATTTTAGTTACTAGTTCTCGTGTGAACTTAATTAAGTGGCCTGCTTAATTCTCTGTTGTTGTTGCAAGTAAACTAAAGAAGACTGATTTGGGTGGAAGTATCTTGAAGCTGTTCACAAGTAGAGAAAAACAGGAGGAAACTGCCAAGCAGTCTGTTCCTTGACAGTGCATTGCATCTAGAAGAACTTTACTGGTTGATGATGTGTAGATTAGGAAGTAGTTTTCCTAAATAATGGTAATTTTATTGTTGGGATTCTGTCTGTGTATATATATGTTGCAATAACATGCTTTATTTCTCTCTCAGTCCACGTACTTCAGGCCACGTTCTCCTAATCCCACTTTTCCCAGATGGACCTTGCCATGGCATCACAGTAAAGTCAGCAGATACTCACAGTGATGTGTGCTTCTTCCTGCTGATCCTGAAGATGTGCCTTTGTGTGTTGCTCTTCTAACTCACCTGAATAGTTGCAGGGAAGAGTTAGGCTTGCTGAGACAAGCCAGGATAGGAGGTCTTGCTCTGAGGAAGATGGGTTAGACTAGGTGAATTTCCAGCCCTGTTTTTCCTCAGATGTGTGGTAAATCTGCTGAATCAGTGGGCGCTGGGCTGTAAAGATTTCAAACTAGGGAGCATTCTGTCTGCTTAGAAAGAATGTACAGCACGAGTGTTCCTCATATATCAGAAGTTAGTAATTCATACTGGACCTAAAAAATGCAGCTTTGTACTGCTAAATCTTCTAACTTTTAGCATGAGCAGCGATGGTGTGTGCTACAGGCAATGCAGTATTTCTTTGTGTGAAAAAGGGAACTGGTTACAGTAGCATGGGTATTCGTGACTCCCTTGAGATTTTGCAGTTAAAACGTCAGACAAGAAGAATGATGAGAATGATAATGTCATTTGTAGGGTGGGGGGCTTATGTGCACCAACTAGCACACAGTTTCTGAGGCTGGTTAGACTCAGATCACTAGAGCCTGTGTTTTGCTTCTGTGTCTCTTTGTACCTCTGTCTTTTATGCAAAGTGAAGCTCTTTATCTTTACAGTTTTTTAAATTTAAAACTGTAGATAAATTTTTGAAGGTTTGGGGTTTTCTGTTGTTCTAGTGAGCAAAACAAATCTACTTTATGCAATTGGGAATGCTTTTTATGAAGTTTTTACTTCCAATAGAATTGATCCCCAGTGACATTTGTTTGAGGCTTTCTCATGACAGCAAGTGGAGAAAAGTAATAAAAGGTCTATAAAGAACAACTGTGAAACTGCACAGAGTGTAAGGGACAGGGAAAAGCAGGTATGTGAGCTTTAATCTCAACTAAAAGCCAGTAAATCTGCAGTTGACAATGTCCTGTTTAACTGTATGCTAAATTACTTCATTGTGTTGGAATAGAACAAAAGTTACAAGACTGAACTTGTGTAAGAATGCATTTCCCTAAAAACAGTTACTTCACAAAAGTCGCCACTAACTGCATTGATAACTTAGCTTTGACAGTTTTGGGGTTAATTTTTTTTAAACATTAAATAGTAGTTAATCATGGCATAACATGTAAATTTTATCAAAAATGCCTCACGTGCCAGTGGACACTTTATGATTTCTTTGTGTAGGTGGAAGAGCCTTTGCTCTTCAGAGAGTTTTACAGGAAGATTCAGACAGTGATGGACAGGTGCGTTCAGTGTTTCTAGCAGATGGCTGGTATTTGTGAGAATCCTGCTTTCGTGGCAGCACAAGGCCTTCAACAGCCATAGCAGAACTTGAGTTGTTGCCTAGTGTCTCCGCACTGTTGGTTCAGCCATGTGCATATCCTGCTGCCCTAACAAACACAGAACACCTCATTCTTAATGCTTGAACACAATTAACAGCCTTTGCACATGCTTCCTAGGCATTGTCTTTTTCAGTTTTTTTTCTTTTTTTGTAAGCTTGATCTTATTAAAATGTGATTTATGTACATGGGCTGATTGTTCTTTTTTTTTTCTTTTCTTCCATTGCTGTTTGTGTCTTCTGTGTATGCACAACTATTTCTGTATTCCAAGGTCGAGACAGGTTGCAAGGGGTGTGTGCTGATATACACACATGCTTGCATAAGGTGTCAAATGCGGTGTCCTTGGAGGAACAGATAATTCAGTGGAACAGAATGCATTACTGCAGTACCAGAGGGAGCATCCTTCAAGAAATACCCAGAATCCCTCTGGAAATGAGGCTATGAAGGGGAGTCTTGTTCATCCATCTAGAGCAGAGCAGTAGCCTGTTGCTATAGGAATAAAAAATACTGAAATAAAATATTTTGCTGTATTAAGTTAAAAATAGTATTGTGGTAGGATAGGTCGAAGTTCCTGTGAAGGGGAGATTGTTACATGGAACTTCTGAAGCATCGGAGCTCGTCATTGCCAAAAGAATGGAGTGGTAAATACAGCTTATTTGTAAATGACAGCTAAAGGGCTAGTGCAGGCCTGTTGGCTCTTCAACAGTGGCCCTTCCAGATACTGTCCAGCTCTGTCCCATAGGAAGCTTCATTTTAAGTTGTTTTTTCTATATGTAGGTTTTGTTTTGTCTTTTCCTTTTTTCCTTTTTAGAGATCTCTCTTGATAGTCGTTGGGAATCCGTTGAAATACAGCAGTGCATACGGCTGTTATGTGTACCCTGTGTCATAGCTAGATGAATCAAAGCAGCTATTGAGGTTTATAGTTTAGATAATAGGTATAATATAATATAATAAGGTAAAACTCATATTTGATCTGTAACTAGTCTGTTGTTTGCTGAAAGAAAGCTCATGTGAAGTATGCTGAAATAAGTCGTACTACTGCCTGCTCCAACAGGGAATATTTCTGGTTCTACTATTTGTTCCTTTGGTGAAGCCTAAAATGTTATTTGTGAGAGTGAAGCAATATTCAGTCACTTAATTAGGTGCAGAAATTCTTTGGAATCTTTGCTCATGCTGGGCCTTTGGAAGCCTCATTTATTGATAAAGTTGCAGTGTTACAATAGAGTTACAGTGTAGCTTTTTGTGAAAATAATGTGAAGGCTTCTATATTAAATTTTCATTCTACTGAAATAAATTATTAGGGAGTGAATTTGCCTATCCTTTAAAAAAAAATCTGAGCAGTTAGATTTATTAGTGAAATTTCTGCTCATCTTAAAGAGATCTTCATGAAAAGTGGGGAAAAAAAATTACAACTTTTGAAATTGATTTGTGTTTTATCCAGTCCTAAACTTTGGCTTTGTGATGCAGAAGGTTGTGGGGTTGTACGTTTTTCTTTGCCTACAAATTATCAAGTTTTGAAAAGTTTTGTTGTTATCTTCTTAGTTCTGCTTAAAAGAAAACCATATCCATGGTATAACAACGGGGTGTGTAATGTCTGTGATGAAGTCATTCCTTTCATAGCTCTCTACCTTTCTGCCCTTCTTTTTCACCTCCCAGCACAAGCTCTGAGCTGGCAGAAGATGAGAGGTGCAAGACGAGGAGCACACAAATTCTGAGATGCAGTGAAGCCCCTTTACTGTGCTTGTCAGTAAATCCTCCTTGAGTCTTTGGAGGATCTGGAAGTAGCGTTATATTTATAAGTTGACTTTGTGTTGAAAAGGTGTTTATTTTTCAAAGTTTGGATGCAGCCAGTATGTTATCCCCGCTTCTCTAGCGTGGCTAATCTGTGATCTGTATTATTTATTCATGAATAACTTCAAGTGCAGTGTAATTCTTCCTTTCATCTCAAGCTGTCTAGTGTAGGAAAACCAGAAAAAAAAAAAAAAAAAACTTATTCAGAGCATTTCTAGTGATGCATCACAATTTTTT